AACACACCACTCCTATCTGGTGTCACATTAGCTTGACCGCGCAGTGCCCCAAATTTGCAGTAAGAGGACCGACCAAGCCTCTTCTTCCATCTCCCTGTTACAAAAATCAATGCCGTGTACACGTCCACTGATAGGAGACGCGGAAGGTAATAAACTGATAAAAATAGTACTAAACACACCACTCCTATCTGGTGTCACATTAGCTTGACCGCGCAGTGCCCCAAATTTGCAGTAAGAGGACCACCCAAGCCTCTTCTTCCATCTCCCTGTTACAAAAATCAATGCCGTGTACACGTCCACTGATAGGAGACGCGAAGAAGAAACTGATCAGAACAATACTAAACACACCACTCCTTTTTTTTGTGAGGCTTTACAGGACAGAGTGCTTCTCCACGGGACATGTTAACTCACGGGCAGCTGGCTCATCAAGGAACCAGAGCAGCTTTCCATGTACAGGTAAGACACGGCAGCCGGTAAGGGTTCAGGCTCTTCTTCCTGGAGGATACGCTGCAAGCCTGTTGAACGAGGTGACCTTGCTCGGGTCCCAGGTGTACGGTTCCTAAAATGGCTGCCATATACATTCACCGGATAGGAGACGCTGGAAGGTATTAAAACTGATCAGAAAATACTAAACACACCACTTATTCAGGTAACATTAGCTTGGACCGCCAAGAGTGCCCCAAATTTGAATTAAGAGACCACCAAGCATCTTCTTCCATCCCCTGTTAGCAGAAATCACCGCTATCCATACAAATTGTGCTGAGAATGTCCAGGGATAGTTTAGACAAATGTTGTTGTTGAACCAGGGTGACCTTGCTCGTCCCAGGTGTAAATGGTTCCTAAAAGAGCTGCCATATACACGTCCACTGATAGGAGACGCGGAAGGTATTAAACTGATCAGAACAATACTAAACACACCACAAATAAGGTTTCTCTCCGTATGGCTCCTCAAATGATGCTTAAGATTAGAAGCGGCTGAAAAGCATTTCTCACACTCAGAACAAAAATATATTTTTTTAACATTCTCTCCACTTTGAACGAAATGACGTTTGGGAAGAGATTAATATAATTAAACACAGGCAGTAAAAATACAGTTTTTAGCCATACCCTGTAACTTTAAAACTACACATCCCATCTTCATAATTACATATTTGGAATCAGCACACTTAAAACATAAACATAACCAAAATCAGCCAAATCCATCCAGGGGTTAAAAAGTTAGCTGGAGGTCCCTTTATGACCGACCGCAAGCACATTTTCCCGCCCAAAACAGTTCCATAGATTTGCCAGAGGTCGGCTCCATTCTCTAGGCTGAGGGGTCCATCAAGTCCCATCGCTTAATGGGACTTATTCTGCAGCTGAAATAAGGTTGAAAAACGGTTGAAAGACTAAGTCCCATCACCAATGGGACTTAGTCTCTGCAGCTGAAATAATTTCCCATTTACTGAACCAAGTGGGAAATAGCAAGGCAGGCACAAAGGGTTTGCACCAGGTCTGGGGACACAGGGGACACCGTCTTAAAGGGGCCGTGTCCCCAATAAGTCTGGGGACACGGCCTTAAAGGGGCAGTGTCCCAATCTTCCTGATGTCCCAAAAAAGGTGTTTAAAGGGCCAGCACCAGTCACATAAAGAGTCCATAAGCCCCAATATGCCCACCGACAGTCTTAAAGGGCCATACACACCAAATAAAAGTGCATACATTTTCACAATCTCCCAGGGGCTATAGTCATGCGGGAGGAGGCTGGCAAAGAGGCTTCTCCACAACCCAGGGAAACAGGGCAATTTGCCATTTAAAGGGCCCGTTACAAATAGCAGTTTGTAACAAGGTGTCAATCCATTCGCCATGACCCATGGAGGGGACCAGTCCCTATTCTTGCCTGCAGTCAGTACCAGGGAACCTTAGGACAGGTGTCAAACCATATCCAAGCCAAGTGACCCGGATGAAACAGTCCCTATTCCCACTCTAGTCAGTGTGTATCAGGGATCCCAGGACAAAAATAATCCATATCTGCCATGACCTATAGGGGACCAGTCTCTATTCCTGCCCTGTGTCCGTGTGCATCAGGGGCCTGGAGTGACAGGGGTAAGTGTCAATCCATATGTCGGTTGCGTCAATATGTCATATGTCAGGTGTCAATCCATATTGATTGTGATTTAAGAATGTTAGGTGATTTCTGCCCTTTATGGATTAAAACCAGACTCTGTATCAACTGTGTAATTTCCCATGGGAGTTTTGCCATGGATCCCCCTCCGGCATGCCACAGTCCAGGTGTTAGTCCCCTTGAAACAACTTTTCCATCCCTATTGTGGCCAGAAAGAGTCCCTGTGTGTTTTAAAATTGGCCTCCCCATTGAAGTCAATGGCGTTTCGGGCGGTTCGCCGGTTCGCGAACATTTGCGGAAGTTCGCGTTCGCCGTTCGCGAACCGAAAATTTCGGGTTCGCGACATCACTATCGAACAAACTTTCCATGATACAGCTACTTCTCATAGTCTTCTTGTTTCCTTATTTGCACTTATTTGTTTTTAACTTATAATTTTAAGTTTACTCCTATTTTAGGTTATTAACAATCAGGGACTGATGTATACCTTCTTTGAAAGAGGCACATGTAGCTGGGTCACCTTGTTGCGCATATTTGCACCTGATGGATCTAGACACTTAATGCCACATCCGCGATAGACTCATGCACTAATGCTCCCAAACCCCCCCACACACACACCCATGATAGCAAAGCTATATGCGCACTTTGTGACCTGGGAGGGAGGTGAGTTCCTAATTGGGCATCTCTAGTAAAGCTGGGGTATTACCTATTGAATTCAGCCTATGCCCGTAAGGGATTACAGCTTTGTCTTGCATATATTTGGTTGATGTATTGTGTGATTTTCAGTGTCTTTAAAAAAAAAATTCAGCATGTCTCATACTACCTAATATTATGTGGTCCCTGAAGGACATAACTGTATGTAATTGTACCAGGTTGAATTGTTACTGCAATACTACCATGCTGAATGACAAAATAAAGAATAAAAAAAGAGAAAAGAAAAATAAGACAATAAATCTCTTCAAATGTCACAAATTTTCTTTAACTATGTAAGGAGCCTAAAGTTACAGGCAGGAACCACCGAATGTAACACATGTGGAATGCAAACGTCATCACTCACTCAGCGTGATGACGTCACCGAATTAAAAACATCAAATGACATTGTGACCGCATCGGCTGCGGTGGAACGCATGCAAGGGCATCTTGCAAGGGCGCGATGATGTCAGAATAGGCGGAACCAGGAAGAAGATTGAAACTTATCGAATACAGCTGAGGAGATTAAAAAGGCCTATCAGAATGAACCTGGAAACGGGAAAAAGGGGTATACAAAGACTGGGAAGGGGTGGAGGCATTGGTAGGCACTTTGTATTCAGTTTGAAAACACAGAATTGTCCCTGAGGAAGTCCCTAGGTGGGATGAAATGCATAAAACTAAGTCTATGAAGTTGTGGTGACATGCTACATCTACTATTACAAACGTCTATGTAAGTTAATACATTTGCATTGTGCACTTTACTTGGTTGCTATTTTATTGGACTGCACGTTGTCTTTTCTCATTTTAAAATAAATAAAGCTCAAAACCTGGAACAGATTCACATCCATTACATGGAAGTCTCTGTATCCTCTTTTAAATTGTGAGTGGCCATTTGGAGTACATAATTAACTATATCTGCTGTACAGTTTTGCACTATGTTGTGTCATTTCTTCCCTGGCAGGACAACCCCTACTTTTGTATATTGATATTTGTTGAGGATTCTTTTGAGGAGATTTTTGGGGTTTCTACACCTGAAGGGAAGTAATTTATTGTCATATAAATTGCACTTTTTTCACTGAAGCACTTTATAGTACTGTGAAAGTCAGTTTTGATATGTTTTTTCTTTCCTTGCAAACAATCAAAGGTATGTAAACTTTTTTTTGATCAGGGCCTTTGGGTGATTTCTGTTATCATTATGATTTATAAATCATGTTAAAGAATAGGATTGTTGAACATCTAAAAACACATGGATTTCAAGATCAGAGACAACATGGGTTTACTTCAGGGAGATCATGCCAAACTAATCTTATTGATTTTTTTGATTGGGTAACTAAAATTATAGATCAAGGTGGTGCAGTAGACATTGCTTACCTAGATTTCAGTAAGGCTTTTGACATTGTTGCACATAGAAGGCTTATCAATAAACTGCAATCTTTAAGTTTGGATTCCAATATTGTTGAATGGGTAAGGCAGTGGCTGAGTGACAGGCAACAGAGGGTTGATAATGGAATATATTAGAAGCATGGGCTTGTCACCAGTGGGGTACCTCAGGGATCTGTACTTGGACCCATGCTCTTTAATATTTTTATTAGTGATATTGCAGAAGGTCTTGATGGTAAGGTATGTCTTTTTGCTGATGATACTAAGATATGTAACAGGGTTGATGTTCCAGGAGGGATAAGCCAAATGGCTAATGATTTAGGTAAACTAGAAAAATGGTCAGAGTTGTGGCAACTGACATTTAATGTGGATAAGTGCAAGATAATGCATCTTGGACGTAAAAACCCAAGGGCAGAGTACAGAATATTTGATAGAGTCCTAACCTCAACCTATGAGGAAAGGGATTTAGGGGTGATTATTTCTGATGACTTAAAGGTAGGCAGACAATGTAATAGAGCAGCAGGAAATGCTAGCATAATGCATGGTTGTATAGGGAGAGGTGTTAGCAGTAGAAAGAGGAAAGTGCTCATGCCATTGTACAGAACACTGGTGAGACCTCACTTGGAGTATTGTACGCAGTACTGGAGACCGTATCTCCAGAAAGATATTGATACTTTAGAGAGAGTTCACAGAAGGACTACTAAATTGGTTCATAGATTGCAGGATCAAACTTACAAGGAGAGGTTAAAGAAACTTAACATGTATAGCTTGGAGGAAAGACGAGACAGGGAGATATGATAGAAACATTTAAATACATAAAGGGAATCAACACATAACGACACAATCGATCCGGACGTATAAAAGATCTATACTACGTCACTTACTAAACGCGGCCAAAGCTAACATACCGGCACACTGGAAGACAAGTGATGTACCAACTAAAGAAGAATGGATCCGCAGAGTAGAAGATATTCACGGAGCGGAAGAAATACACGCCTCTCTGACGGGTCGAGCAACAAAACACACAGAACTGTGGCTCCCATGGTTCCTCTATATTGCCCGCTACAGACAGGCAGGTAATGCCCCCGAATCCACTGACGGGGCAACATCAGATGCGGATCCTACAGGACACAGTCCACCCCCCCCCTTAGCCACATTTCCTTCCCCCTCCCCCCCCTTTTTTTTTTTTTATCCTTCTTCTCTCTCCCTCTCTCTCTTTCTTTCTTCTTCTTCTTCTTTTCTTCTTCTCTCTTCTTACCTCTCTCTCGCTCTTCCATTTCGCTGGACGGGCCCCGGAACCGGGGAATCGGGATCGGGATCGGAGAGACACATTATCATAAAAGCAAAGGGGGGAGGAAAAAAAAAAGGGAAGGGTAAGAGGAAAAAAATTGAAAAATCTATCGACTTCTGAAACTCGTAAAAGAGGAACACCCAGCCCTGACGGGATCTGAGGAGTGTACAGACTCCCTAGGGAAACACGAGTCAAACCATGCCTTGTTAAACGTTCCAGTATCAAAATGTCAAAAGTAGAGCTTACGCTCATATAACACAACAGATACGCAACATCTTAAATCTACTCCAATCACACACTACTAGGTCTCCGACACACACACCACTAACGACACTAAGGCATCTCCCTGGGAAATCTCACGGACTGTGGGCTCTGCTGCAAGTAGTATTGACAACACCCCTAGCCATATAAGATAACGCACTAGATACGGGGACACGTATTATACAATCCACTAAACCTACTCTCATGGCACGCTATAGACCCGCATACACATCTGGAACGCTAAGACCCGTGAGTCTCAACGTTATATCTCACTACCTCACATATCTCACTAACTCGCACCTAGGGAAAATCACATATTCTATCGCTCGACACAACTAGGCGAAGTAATAAAGTCAAATGGAAGGAGGTGGGGAGATGGAACTACAGAGTGTGAGGAATAAGGGGAACAAAACCTTTACGTTACAAAAACTGTACAGGCCCTCTCCTCCCGACCTGCATATTTTGGTGTACTGCACGATGTCAAATATTTTGCATTATTACGCCCGATGTTTCACTCTGTCATATAACAAAAAAGATTTACCCCAAAAAAAAAAAAAGCAATGAAACTCACGTGGTAACACGGACGAGAACCCCGGCACAATGTGATTAATATCCTCAAATTGGTGGTATGTCGGAGACTTGCGCGTCTCAACTTGTAAAGCTTTTTAAAGCATGTACTGCTTGTTTGAACTACTTATCAATAAAAACAGATTTAACAAAAAAAAAAATAAAGGGAATCAATACACGAAAGGAGGAAACTATATTTAAAAGAAGAAAACTACCACAACAAGAGGACATAGTCTTAAATTAGAGGGGCAAAGGTTTAAAAATAATATCCGGGAAAATTACTTTACTGAGAGGGTAGTGGATGCTTGGAAAAGCCTTCCAGCTGAAGTGGTAGAGGTTAACACAGTAATGGAGTTTAAGCATGCTTGGGATATGCATAAAGCTATCCTAGCTATTAGATAACCCCAGGGACTAATGAAAGTATTTTAAAAAAAATTGGGCAGACTAGATGGGCCGAATGGTTCTTATCTGCCGTCACATTTTAGGTTTCTATGTTTCTATAAAGGAGCCAAAAAATATGTGATAATAACTGGCTTCATGTGATCACTTTTGATCAATAAAATTATTTTTTTAACGTGATCAGCCATATTTTCAAAATCAATGCCAAAATTTCACAATTTCTGCCAGTGTATGCAAACATTTGAACACAACTGTAGCTCACAGCTAAAAAACAACAACATTGTACGGATGGGAAAATGGTAGTCCCCCACCTAGCAAAGTATTGTGGGAGTTGCACAACAGTTGAGGATCAACCTTTTGGTCACCCTTGGATTAGTGAAGGGGCCAATAAAATGTTTGCACCAGGGTGCTCTGTACTTTATATCTGCTTTATCAATGCTTCATCATCTCCTTGGAAAAGCTTGGAAAAGTTTCGAAAGTGAGCATTGTGCGTCCATTCTGTCTCCTGACATCACAACTTTGGGTTCAGTATCCTAACATGGGAGCATGTAGATACACAGCACTTCCAAGTATAGTGCGGGAGAGAAAAAATGAAGTGGCATCTGAACACACTAGAGCAGTCACGCCTCTGATAATGGCAACATATAGAGGCTGACATAACTGGTGTACAGTTTGTGTTTTTCCTACCATTTATACTCAATTTATTAAGGTGTCCATTCTCTTTTAGGAACATTTTGTATGAATTCTTAAAACACAAAAAACAAAAGTTTAGGTACACTGAAAGCTGGGTGTGTTAGTTTAAAAAGACCAGAAAAAGTTAGGCATTTAAAATAATTTTTGGTGGAGCTAGCAGCGTTCAGGAGCAGATTACATTTCCCACAGCCCCGCAACACAGAAGCAAATTCTCGCCCTTAGCTCAAGAACAGTAATGTATGTGTTGGGGACAGCACAACGATCACTTGGCTGCCTTTTTTGTACACTCTTGCGGTTGCCACACATTACCTCCTGTGACTGTGATGGATTTGACTTGGCTTCTCTCTCAGCAAGTCTGCCTTGGAAGTGTGGGCACCCATGTTGGGCCGCAAATTCCAGAAACCGAGCAAGCAGGACTCATCACCATATTGGCCAGATGCTGGCCTCGACTTTCAGCTACTCCCAGCCCAGTGGTGTAGTAAACACCTGCAGATGAGGTCCAGGCTATAAATGGAGCCGAAACACCTGCGATAAAACAGGATATACATGACCTACTGGCACACTTCTTGGAGATGTTGTATGCAGAGAGTAACCTTGTGAAAACCAAATTACAAGTGGTAACTGACCATCTCCAAACTTCTAAGGAGGACACCGCTGACCTTGAAACAAGGCATGACAACTCAAGAAGAATCAATACAGCAATTGCAAAATTCCCACTACCTACCTACCTACTAACAAGTTGCCAGAATGGATAGACTGGAAGACAAGAGCCGACAAAAGAACATAAAAATTTGGGGTGTGGATTACTCTGAAGGAATTACCACATTTCATCAGGTGACTTATCACATCTATTCTACTGGCTAAACACGCCAAACAGTTCGCATACAACAATTGCTACTTTTTCACAAACACCAGCTAACGTTCCAAGAGAAAATAATTTTCTGCTGCCGGTCCTATGCGGACAAAGGCTCCATTACCAAACCTCCTTTGTTCCACAACCACCCCTGAAGCCTCTCACCGATTGAACACATTGAAGCGACACAGACAAACAGACAGTGCACCTTAAGCAAAGCGCAAAGCACGACAATGCCAAAAGAAACATGCCAACAACAAAAGAGTAAAGGATGGTACAGAAGCCATAGAAATAGAAGGCTGTACTATTTCATCAATTCTAAATCTAAACTATGGAATACCATTGTCTGCACAGTGCCATTCACCTACAGAATCTAATGGATTGAAAGAGTTAACTAAAATAGTAGCAGGTACCGCAGCTGAGGTGGAAGGATTTTGGACTTCTGGATATTGCAGGAAGCAAAGTTAACCATATCAGCCAAAGGGTGACTAATAGAATCATAAAAAATGCCAGAAAAGGTAGATTGCAGATCAATACTGCACAAAAATCAATAATCTTCTGGTGAAGATACAGAAGCAAACAATAAAGTGGAACAAGAAGATGTGTCTTATTAATAAACCGGTGCTGAGAATAGTCAAACTTTGTAAGACTAGCAGTAAAAACCTCAACACATTGTAGGCATACAGAACTATGAGAGATAGGATACACTGGACGGTAAGATCTAATATTACTGCATTGAAAATTAGATAACAATGAAAAGATAAGGTCAATGCTAGTAGTAGGCAGGGATGTATTAGCCGCGAGGCAAACAAGGCATTTCCTTTGGGCGGCATTTTTCAGGGGTCGGCAAAAAACGCCGCCCCCAAATGCCCATGGCAAATGCCTAGTTAGCCTTGCGGCTAACAGACATGCTGGGCGCTGGGCGGGCGGCTGGGGAGGGAGCACTTCCCCTGAGCGATCTGCTCAGCTCCCTCGTGCGCCACACAGTGAGGCTGGGAGCCGGAATATGACGTCATCTTCCGGCTCCCAGCCTCTCTGGGGCCTAATTGTATCGAGTACTCTATCAACATACCTGTGACTAACTCGCCAACCAGACAGCCTGGACCACCAGGAGAGACTAGCACTCCCAAAGGTGGGGAGGTGGGGGTTCATTAAAGTTAATGTGAGTGAGTGTGTGTGTCAGTTAATGTGTGTTTGTTAGTGTGTGTGAGTTTGTGTGTGTGTCTGCTAGTGAGTGTGTGTCTGTTAGTGTGTGTGTCTGACTGTTTGTCTGTTAGTGTGTATGTGTGTGTCTGACTGTGTGTCAGTGAGTGTGTGTGTGTGTGTGTGTGTGTGTGTGTGTGTGTGTGTGTGTGTGTGTGTGTGTGTGTGTGTGTGTGTGTGTGTGTGTGTGTGTTTGTGTCTGTGTCTGTGTTTGTGTCTGACTGTGTGTTTGTGTGTGTCTGACTGTGTGTGTGTATTTAGAAGGTGGAGCGGGGGGAAGGGTTGGGTGGGGGTGGCACGGGGGGAAGGGGGCGCCTGAGTTTTGTCCTGCCTACACCACTGGTAGTAGGGTGTGAGACTAATTATATAGGTTGAAAAGGAACAATTACTTCTGAAGAAGTAGAGGATATACAATGCTCATGCAGATTAGGTAACAATACCCCCAAGATGTCATTGTCTTATTAGTAGAGCATTCAAGATAACAAAATAAATAGTTACAGACAGACTGAATATTAATCTCAGAGAACTAGAGAGATGACATTCAAATACATTTGGAAATAGGAGATTCTCACAAAACTTCTACAAAGTCAATGTCTGTAAAAGCCGAGAGGGGAGAATAAAATACATCACATTATACTAAGAAAAACATTTAAGACATTGTACAGAAGATAGACTAGCCAATTGTTTCCATTAAGATGATTAAAACAATTTAAGTTGCATTGCATGCTCTTAGACTCAACCATCTGATTTTTCAAACAGATAAACTGATGATCC